TTTTCTGTTCCTTCAAGTTTCATTGTGATTTCCGCTTGCTCTAGTTTGTCTACTAGTTTTCGAAAATCTAAATCGGGCTCTCGAATTGAGGAGGGATGTGATGCTCTCTTTTTTATTGCTATTTTCCTTAATTGAGGTGTTAAGGTCATCATTAAGATTTCTGTCATCTTTGTGTTTTTATAGTCGTGTGTATTTAATGAATATGCTTTTCGAACTAGTGTTTCGATACGTACTGCTAATTGTTTAATGGTTTCATTTGGTAATCTGCGAATTTCATTACATAAAACTCTTTGTTGTTGTTTGTTTCTTTCGGAGTCAAACAATTTTGAAAATTCTTGTGTAAATCTCTTCCAATTTGATTTTATTTCTATAGGCAATACTGAAAACCATTTTTGGGCTGCGCCGTATAAGGTTGTCTGTATCAACGCTGTGCGTCGATGTATCCAGTTTTGATGTAGTGGCGTATTAATTGGTTCAGGTCCTATATTTAAAATTAAATTTGCTGTTACTGCATTTAAATAATCTTCTACAGAATATTCAGGGTCTGTTCCTGTGAATACCATTAATGTTTGTTTGATGTTATTGATGATCCACCCATAAGGTATGGATTCATTGTCATTTGTAATGATTCTGCTGCATTTGGCATTTGTGAAAAATTTGAAAGTTGATTGTTTGTTATTTCGTGTTGTTGAAGGTAATATGGGAGTGGTATTTCATTTTACATTTGTGTTGGTTGATACGAGTGTGTATCCATTGGGTTTTGTGGTTGAATTGGTTGAAAAAATTGTGTATTAATTGGGTTTTGCTTTTGCATTGGTTGTTGATTTTGTGTATCTGTTGGGTGTGGAGAAAAAATTCTATGATTTGTATGTGGTTTCTGTATTCTTTGTCCATGATATTTTTGATTGTATGGTGCAAATATATCTGGTTGTAAATAATCATCATCAGAGGATAGATAATCCGTTTGATGAGGTGCTTGTTTTTTATTTTTATTCTGTTGAAAGAATGGGTAATTTTCACTACGATCCTGTGGAGGATGTGAATTAGTTTAAAAATTTACTGAGTTGCTTATTGTTATTGGATTATCCCAGTATTGAGATCTTATCTGATTATTATTTTTTTTTCGTGGGGGATAGTTTGTTTTTGATGAATGCGTGTAATTATAATTGTGTTCCGCAAAATTGTTTCTTGTGAATGTTCTGCGTGTTTTTGACGGTATTGTCGTGGGTCTATATGTTTGATAATCCATTTGTGAATATTTTGGAGCAACCGAAGGTTTAACGGTTGACTGTAAGGTTACCTGTGCTAGTGAAGTGTTTGTATTTCTTGGTGTTGTTAAATTTGGACGTATCGGTGAAATACTTTGTTGTGTAGTTGTTGTTGTTTGGACGATTTCTTCATTTATGAAGTGTGATGGTGTCTGAATATCTTGTTGAGTGAGATTCCTAGTTCCATTAAGGTTTTCATTGTGTATGACGGTCGAATTTAAACTGTTATTTCGCGTATCAGGTAAAAATGTATTGTAGTTTAATGGTGTTGCATCAATAGTTAATGGTACTACTCTTACATAATCTCTTGTATAAGATATTGTACTTATTGCTTGACTTGCGATTGATTGTGGGATATTTATAAATGCATAATGAGACCATTCGGGGTCCCAAACGTAGTCTGACTGTTCTGTGATGGCGGTATCATCGTTTGAATTTTGAGGTCTAAAATTTTTTCTAGCCTGTGAAATTAAATCTATATTATGTGTGAAATAATCTATTATAAACCATGCCAAAATTTTTTGTAAGTCATGTTTTGTATGTTGTGAAACATCATCTTTAGTGAATTTTCTTTAATTATATGTAGGAAAGTTGAAAATAGTGTGATTTCATGTCGTACCCTTATATGTTTAGATGTCTCTGTCGGTGAGACATTTGGGATTGGGATTTCGTTTTCTAATATTGAGATATAACTATATATTATGGCAAAAACTTCATTAGTGAATATGGAGTTTGCTCTTTGTGAGTTATGATATTGTATGCTTTTTATATATTCTGAGAATACTTTTGAAAATTCTAAGTCAAGGTCGTCTGTTTGAATTACATATTTGCGGTGATTCGGGTTTGGTGAGGTGAATTCTATGGTGTAGATTCCGTACTGTTGTGTCAAATTACATATATCTTTCAGATAGTGATCAATAATTTGTCTTTTTATTTTTACATCTGGGAACTCTGCTTTACATGGGCTAATTCCGGGTTCAAAGAAATTTAGAAGTAATTTTTTGCAAAGTATATGCTGTCCTCTATCATTGGGTGCATCTACGAGGAAGGGGAAGATATCGTCATCATCTGGACTATCTTCACTTGGAGTGTGTGTTTGGCTCATGTTTTCGTTTAATGACTGTTAATAGGTAATTATCGATGTGTCTAATTGGTTGATTCCAGTTATATAAGTGTACTGGTTTGTGTTTATATTGCTTTTTTATTCTTCTTTTTCCTCTTTTTGATGAATTTGAAGTTGTTTCTGAGTCGGAAAAATATAATTGATCGTGAATGGGGCAATTTTTATCTATAGATTCTTTTAATTTATAAAGTTCGTCTAAATTGCTGGCTTCTGATTCTGAAAATGCGTTTCTATTTTTGGAAAATCTTTTTCGTGTTATTTGTCTTTGTTTGTTTATTATTTTTCTTTTTAGTGTTTGTCGTTTTGTTCTAATATATCCAACTGTTTGTGTATGAGGTGTGATTACAAGATCGTATTTTTTGTTATCTATTTCGCAATTGTGTAAAACGATTGTTTGTTTATTTACTAGATTTTTAAATGACATAAGGTTTAGGATGACGGATGCAAAAAGTTGTTAGATGATTTCTATTTTCTTAAATTGTTAGTCCTTACGATTTTTTTGGTTAGCTTAACCTGGGTCTATTTGTTCAGGGTTGGAGAGAAAAGTATATCAATTCCGAAGAATGATTTTTTACTTTCTCGTGGCTAGTATAAGCTAAGGTGTTAACTTACTTAATCTTACTTAGGGGTAGTGATTGTGTTCAAGGGTTGGAGAATAGTAAATCGATCCACAAGGTTCAGGTATAATTAGAACGCGAGTAGTTCGTTAGATACTATTTTAAACTTACTAAGTCTAAGATTTATCCTGGGTCTTGATAAGAGGAGGGTTCAAGTGAAGGATGAATAACCGAAGTTCTTCACTGTTTATCCTAATTTGAATGGTTAGTTTTGTTGAAAAATTTATATTAGTCTTGGGTTTTTTGAAAGGGTTGGATAGTGAATCGACGTTTGAGGTCGTTAGACACTAACTAAGTGGGTGGGGGAGAACAAAATTGTTCTTTTCGATCCAAGGATAGGCCTTGATGATCAAGTTTTAAAATTTAATTAAATAGAAAATGAATTAAGATCCAAGGATAAGCCTTGATGATCTGATTTTTAAAATTAAGTGATTTTAAGTTTAAAATGGTTTAAATTTGTTTAAGGAAAAAATTTAGTGTTTTAATGATATTAGTGAGCTTATGATTGCTGTTATGTTTAGGTGATGAAGCTGGGACAACTGATGATTTTATGATTACTAACAATTTATTGTCATGCTATTAGTTTTTGTTTTGATTTTCAATAAATATTTTCCAAACATGTTTTATATAATACTGCAGAATTTAGAAAAACGATCTGAGATCTTTTTATCAATCGTTATTGTATATTTATAATTTTGTTTAGCGCCTGAGATGATTATGAGGAATGACTTCAAGATTTTATGTTTGTGAATGAAAATCTAAATTCATTGCTAATGAAATTCTAAATATAAAAGTTTGTGTTGGCTTTTGCCGTACTATCATATAACTATTTGGTAAGTTTCTACTTTGTCGTATGTCGTCTCTGGTTCGAGGTCTTCTTGCAATTCCGGGTAGTTCTGTTGTCGTTCGGAATATTGGCTCTGATCTATTGAGTCGTAGAGACATTTCGATTAAATTATCGTCGTATAACATTTTGAAAATGTTTTGTCTAAATTCTAATCTATTTTTGGTTAATTCTAAGCTATTAAGGTCTTGTTCGAGACTTATGGTCGCACCAGATGAGTTAGAACCGATGTGGTTAACTCATAGAGTAATTTCGGATAGGGTACACCGTCTGCTCGTCACGCTATCTTATTTTCGGCCGGATAGATTCGCGCAACTTCTTAGTCTAATACCGATCCTAATCTTACTCTTATACTATCTAGTCTCAGGTTGTTTAACTAGTCTCTGCTAGGCTCAATAGATCTAGGGTATACTGGTTTATTGCGACTGCTGAAGTTCTCTTGGAGAGGCAACTAATTTCTAAGTTAAATTCAAATCTCTCTGGTGCTGAAATTACAAGTAATTTCAGCACTTACAAATAAGTGGGTTGTTAGTTAGATGGATCATGATTGGTAAATATTAAATACTTTACAGTGGTAAAATATCTAATTTATCCAATCATAAAATGTAGTTTAGATCAGGTTCCAATATGACAATGTTATATAAACTTTTCAAATTTTCAGAATTTCAGAAAAAATCAAAGGGGGTACTGAAAAAGAGCCAATTTATTTTATGGTGCAATGCTGGGTTTTAAAAGGTTAGAAGTATGGAGACCAAATATGTTTTCGAAAAAATTTGCAGCGCGTACACGAAAAAGTGGCTCTTTTTCCTTTTCCCCCCACCTGCTAATTTTAATATTTGAAATTACTAATCACTTTGTCCGATTGTCATGAAAATTGACATGCAGACTAATTCGGCCATGACAAACATATTTGGTCTTCATAATTAACCTCGTAAAACCCTTCGTTAGACCATAAAATTCATGTTTGAGTGAGGTGGGGGGGGAAGGAAAAAGAGCCGAAAAAGTGTTTTGTACCAGCGAATTAAGTCAATTAGAAATCAAAAATCATTTGAAATGTTAGCTTTTTTACAAGCACCGTCATCTCAGTTTTCAGAGATAAATTTATATGTGAGAGGGAGTAGAAAAGAGCAAAAATGTGCTGTTTTTACCTCTGGAGCACAAGCTTGTGCGGCTACGAGTTGATTCTGAATTACACTTCTAAGTTCGTCGTAAACTTCAAACCAGAGTTTTACTGCACCTTTGTAGGTCGCATTTGCTTGGCCCGCGCTGAAAAAAAAACATTTCATCTTCAGCTGATTTGTTTAGCGTCTATATCAAGTACCAGGCAAAAAATTGGGCGTTTTGGCTCTTTTTCAGTTCCATCCTTTAGTTTTTATGGAATATCAATAAACCAAAGTTTACTTTAAATGATTTTTCATGTTATCAACTGCATCAAAACGTGTGTCAGCTTGAACAGGTAAACAAGTAGTTTTTACATTTTTTATATGCAAAATTTAGTAAGAACAACTTTTGAACACCTGTTTTTGTAATTTTAAGAGGGGTTTGGGAAACTGGAAAAGAGCCGGCGTTTCATTACAGTTTTCTTCCACCAAATAAAAAAATCAATCTTACGGCGTAGCAAAGGAATTTACAAAGGTCAAAATCTCTGCTTTCGATTGGCGTACATATGCGATTTTTTCTACATCGACGGTGTTGAGTAACGGCTGATGTTACCCTGCAAAATTAGGCTGTAAACAACTTGTACTAATACTGCCTCTTGAAAAACATCTGCGCTGTGTCGTATTGAGTAATTTAGTTCATTTCCAAAGCTGTCAATCAATTGTTCACTCTTGGTGCTAGACTAATTGATTAGCAGGTGTTTGTCCTTGGATCTGTCTGTCACCCTTGGATATTGTTTCTAACCACTCTTGATGCTAACTTTGCAAGATTAAGTTACTGTATATTTATCTCGGAATTAACAATTGCTCGACGATCGTTTTATCTTCTCGACATGGCGCAGTCAGCAGGATTAGGTGGGGGAAAGAATCCACTGGGCATCACGGGATTTTGGCCAGCAAAATGCACGGAACCGCCAATGATGTGGGAATTCTGGATCAACAGATTCCAATGGGGAATGGTCGCCAAACACTCGCTAAATCCAATGAATTTTTATTTCGCCGCGAATCTCACAGTGGACAAAAACACCTGAGGAAGTGTACCGGATCGCTCTCTCGTACGAAAGGGGCAGCAAGTATGCATCCTCATACGTTGCCACGGGACCAGCGGGGACCCCTGGATCATCATCATCAGGAGGAATCCAAATAAAATCGGAACCAGTTGGAATAATCCGGGGAGGTTACCGGAACAACCGTTCAAGGGGCCGGGGCTCTTACCAAGGCCGATGATCGTATCGAGGAAGGAATCCCCTAAATAACAACAAATGTTATAATTGCGATCAGCAAAATTTCACCAGGGAACATTTGGACAGATGCCCAGCAAAAGGGGTTACATGCAATTTTTGCCATAAAATAGGCCACTTCGAAAGAACCTGCAGGGGCAAACGTGGAAACCAACGAGGACAGGGAGCCGTAGGAATGATACGGGAGAATGTGGACGATCATCAACTAGAAAATTCTGCGGACGAAGAAGCATCACAACACGCAAGTTCCATTGGATGGGTCACTAAGAATCCAGTGGTGCACTCGTGGGACTCCAGCAGTTCTGACGGGGACTATATGGTCATGACCATAAAACGGAGAGGAGTGACAGAATTGAAAATTGCTGGGGCACAATTGCCGATAAAAGTCAATGGGAAACCTACTCGCGTGTGGATCGATAGCGGATCCCCAATCTCAATTTTTACAATCGGGGAATTACGGAAAACATTGGGAACATCAGGAGTAAAACTGGACAATCTGACGGAGGAGGATAATGCTTTTCGGGATTATGGAAACAATTCCCTACAGATGATTGGAACAATGGCAGTAACAATCCAATCCAACGGTTGGAAGATCCAGGCAAGGATAAAAGTGATCGGGGGGAACCGACCATCAATAATTGGAAGGGATCTGATGCCCCAACTAGGACTCCAGTTGGTGCAACAACCACCGGGGGACCAAATCATGTCCATTGGAGAAGGCAGTCACGACGCACTGGAACCAGAGGAACCAGAGGGGGAGTTGGATTCGTGGCAAACATACTTCAGTAAGCAGTTTTCAAATCTTTTTAGCAGGGTAGGGAAAATAAGAAACTACAAAGTAGCAGCTGAATTTTTTGAAAACCTCACCCCAGTACAACAGAAAGGGCGTCGAGTCCCGATTTCGTTGCAAGAAAAAGTGGATGCCGAAATTGACAAATTATTGAAACAGGGTCATATCGAAAAATTATCTGAATGCTCGGACAAGTATTTTGTGTCCCCAATAGTAATAACCGTAAAGAAAGACGGATCGGTAAAATTGGCACTAGAGTCGAGGGAACTAAATAAACAAGTGCATAAGAATAAATACCAGATGCCGAATATCGAGGAACTAATGGACACGGTTGGGCAAACGATTAGCGAAAAAAAACAGGGAGACGTATATTTCACAACAATGGATTTAACATACGCTTATGGCCAATTGCCACTAAATGCGGAGACGAGCGTCCAGTGCAATTTTTCGCTAATTGGAGGTCGTTCGACGGGTACATACCGGTTCAAAACCAGATTCTATGGCCTCACTACAATGCCCGCGGAATTCCAACGCGCAATGGATTGTATACTCGCCGAATACCCGCAAGCGCACGCGTTTATCGATGATATTTTGGTCGTAACCAAGGGAACGGCAATAGACCACATAGCAACGGTGGAGAAAATTTTAAAGAAACTGGATCGGGAAAATATGTCTTTAAAATTGACAAAATGTAAATTCGCCCAACGAGAATGCGAATGGCTAGGACATAAAACTAACTCCGACTGGAATTACTCCATTGGTTAGAAAAACATAACCAATAGAAGCGCTGACGCCGCCACAGACTTTGTCGCAATTAAAATCGTTTATGGGGTCGATACATAGCTTGCATAAGTATCTACCGGCATTGGCCGAATCATCGGCACCGCTGCGGCCCCTATTAAGCAAAAATAACGAATACAATTGGACACCTGAATGTCAGAACGCGTTCGAAAATCTGAAGATACAAGTTTCAAACATTGTTGAATTACGGCACTTTGATACCCACAAGGACATTCACATAGTGTGCGATGCAAGCCATAATGGGCTCGGCGCGGTGTTGGAACAGTTGGGACCAGAAGGATGGCGCTCAATTTCGTTCGCGTCGCGATACCTTAACGAGGCGGAAAAGAAATACTCAACAAACGAATTGGAAATGTTGGCAGTTGTGTGGGGGGCTGAATACTTTAGAAATTACATACTGGGCCGAAGTTTTTTGATCGTTACAGATCATAAAGCCCTGATATCCCTTTTGAACGGTAATAACAAGAAAAATAAGACGATGTTTAGTCGTTTAACTCGCTGGTTAGATCGACTAATTCCCTTTGATTTTCAAATTGAGCATAAACCGGGGGCTAAAATTGGCTTGGCGGACTATTTATCGCGGCATCCAAGTAAAGAAGCAACGCCAATTAGTACGTATGATAATATGTTCACGGTGGCAAAGATCAACCTAATTCGCACCGCGCTTGGTTTTAATACATCCAGGGGACCTAATACATCCAAGGGACAAAGTTGTACAGCGAATAGGAAGCTTTCTATAAATAGACTGGAAGTTTCGTCATATAACGATTCGGTAGAGGGCGGCAAAACATGTAAGCGGAAATCAACCAATCAGATGCAACCACGTGGTTTAAGCCGACGGCTAAGCGATATGCGCACTGGATTAGTTGGGGCTATTATTCATTCAGAACACAGTTGTTCAAAATTATCCAAATCCAATCTTCAAAATCAGAATATTCTTACATCCAGCCCTCAAAATTTTAAACCGAACTACAACATGGACCAAAACATGCGCAAATGGCAGAAATTTCTCAAACAGCATCCAAGCCTAAATAATAGTAGCGACGAAATTGAAGAATTGCCCCCAAATGTATCACTAGAAGCCATTACCAAAGAGACAAGATCGATACGCACAAATACAACTCTCTCGTTACCCTCGGAATTCAAAGGAGAAACAGTACCACCAGTGGACCCAAACCTTGTATGTATGTCAATTACCCCGCGAAATTGTAAGATCATTGATAAAACTACTGCATTACCTGACCTGTTTAACTTAAAATTCATAGAATCAAATTATGTATCGGACCCCCAACTGAGCGCTATTCGCGATCTCATTGTTACACAAGACCCGGAAATCCATGAAAAAGTTACTCGAATGAGCCGCTATCACGCTCAATTCGTCAATGATTTCTCAGTGAGGGAAAATGTAGTTTGGATGGACGATAAATTAGCAATCCCAATTAACCTCCAGTCAGCAATCAATAACAGAATACACGCGTACCATCACGGAAAGTCAAATATGTTCGATGCCGCAAAGGACATCTGGTATCCCTACATCTACCGCTCAATAGCCTCCATTGCCGAGGGGTGCCCTGAATGTACTGCAGCCGGTAAGAACTTAAAGACGTTAATAGGTAAAAATCAACTGGGATCTGTACCAGAACCAAAAGAACCGAATGAATCTGTCCAATTAGATTTTTGGGGTCCCATCAATTACTTAAATGAATCCTCTAAATATGTGCTCGTAGCGGTCGACCGGTTCTCTCGTTGGTCATCGGCAATGATCTGTGGAAATAATCGCTCGGACAAAATATTGAAATTCTTGAAGAGTTATATATCAAACCACGGGGTGCCACGGAAAATCCATATCGATCAGGGAACTAATTTCATGTCAAATGCGGTCAAAGCTTTTTGTAATGGGGAAGGCATTGAAATCATTAAATCACCTGTAAACGACCATCGGGCAACCGGGTGTGTCGAGCGTACTATTGGAAGTCTTAAGAATTCAATCCTTACTTTCGCTCACGAAAAAAATCCTGAACCCTTGGAGAAAATGGTCGAACGGGCCCTTGGTGCTCTCAGATTCTCAAAAAACTCAACACTTAGAATTTCGCCTTTTGAAGCTCATCATGGTAGAGAAGCAAACACCGTTTTACGGAATCTTACTAAAAAACCATCGCTGCAGAATCTGGATTGGTCACGGGTAATAAAAACGAAAAATGCTTGTTTAGATAACGCCGATCCTAGTGTGCAAGATATGCCCCATCCAGCCGACACAAACTGGGGTGTACGATCAGATCTCGACTATGACATTAAAAACAGAACCCATGCACGACGCCTTACTGAGGATCAAGCTGGAAATCAAGATGACGAACCGTCGATACGGAAAAGTTCAAATCCCGCAGGACAACCGGGACCATCCGGATCGTTGTTTCAGCGCACTGGAAACAAAAACTTAAAAAGGTATAGACCAGTTCATTCTAATATTAGATCAGAAAGTGCACATACACTGACGTTAGATAATGGAGTTGTGCTTAGGAAATCGGGAGTGGCCACGAAACCCATACCAAAGAAGAAATCAAGAACCGCAGCCAAATCCGTACTACCGGTACCAGTGATCGAAGCGAAAAAACGGGCTACTCAAACAACACTACCACCGCCAACTCCGCGCGAAGTGAAGGAACGATGGACCAAGCGGACTGCGGAAAAGAAACGGGAGAGGACCGGGCGCCGATTCGAAGAAAATTACTCTGAATCGGAGGATAGCGAGGATCTACCGATTATCTCGGTAAAACGTACTCAACAGCAAGCAACGACCACTCCTGAAGCACAAGTAGAACGCTCAGCAACAGCAATACCAGAGGCCGAAGCTGAAACCGACCAGGACACCATTCCGGCACTAGGCGGCGAGTTGGATGCTCCAAATCCAGGGGTGCAAGTAACGGAGAATCCAGGGGTGCAAGACCCAACAAACCCAATAACCACCGGAAAGAAAAAGGGAGCCTCATCCAGGAAAGCTAGGCTGGTCTCTTACAGTAGCCAGGGGGACAGCCAAGACGAGACATCATCCACAACGTCTAGAAGAAGTGGGCGGAAAAGAACGGCGGTCACCAAAATGGGGGGCGTAATGATTGTTTTTATCAATCAGAACAAGGAAGGAAAAAATTGATCGTCGAATCCTAGAAACTTCAAACTTTGTTAAACTGTTCTAACCCAGGGAGAGGGTGAGTCACTACTGGCTTAAAACTCAATCGCTATCACTATCAGTGATCCTTTAGTTATTAACAAAAAGTCGTCATTTTAAAGTCTGAGTTGTATACTGTAACATGAAGCTAGTAATTCTTTTCAACTATCTGCAATCAATCAACCACCTATTTTTCTAACCATCTATTTCAGTCATTAAAGTAAACCTGCGAAATTATTTCTACTTAACTAAAGTTTTCATTATCGAAGGAGAAGTGTCGTATTGAGTAATTTAGTTCATTTCCAAAGCTGTCAATCAATTGTTCACTCTTGGTGCTAGACTAATTGATTAGCAGGTGTTTGTCCTTGGATCTGTCTGTCACCCTTGGATATTGTTTCTAACCACTCTTGATGCTAACTTTGCAAGATTAAGTTACTGTATATTTATCTCGGAATTAACAATTGCTCGACGATCGTTTTATCTTCTCGACAGCTGGTTGACCAAATTAGAACGAGAGCTGGTTGAACAAATTTGGAGGCTGTTACCCCAACTATTACTGCATTCTACTCCATCGTACTCACCCATTCAGCAATCCCTCCATTTCTCGCACAGTTCTGAGTTGGCCCTGGGCTTGATTAGTGTTTTCTCGGAAGAAACGCAGAGCATCCAGAAAAGTCTTCAGCTGCCTCCGGAACAGAAAGTATCTCTTTTCCAGATCACCCAACTGCTCTGCGAATTTCGACGACATCCAAAAAAGTAACCGTAGTCTTATGTTACAAAAACTGTAAAATATAGTATATTGTTTGAATTGTACAATGGTCAAGTAATCGAGATAGATTATAATAGTCAATCAGTTTTGCGACTTAAGCCGGATCTGTTTTCAAATCTCATGTATCCAATTACGTTTTGTACATATATTGTACTGCACGTGCATATTTGATACGATTGTTTTTTGAAGAACGCCGATTTTTGTGACTTGGTTTGTTTGTGAAAAAGCTTTATTTGATTAATGAATGATATGATATTACGCACGCAGCATGAAAAATACCAGTCATTTACGTGTGATTTCCATCTTTCTCGCCGTATAAAATTTTTCTCGCTCTAGTCAATTTTAATCTTCTTGAAAAATCCGATACTCGTCCTTCATTTTTCGACCAACCCGACTAATTTAATTATATCCAACTTTATGGACTCTCGACCACAATCGTAAATGCCACGACTGTGTTTTAGTAGAAGACAAAACATTTTGTTCAAGTGCGACCAGGAAAAACAGTTCAACCAAGAGAGGTTTCTCAAAAAAAGTATTTCGACTGCGTTGAAATATATTTGATCAAGATAGTTTGCTTTTGACTGTGTTTGATTGATGAAAAATGGCAATTTAGAGAGTGAGGGTAGCTTTTCTACCGTTTCCCCACCACGTGTCATTATCTCTGTCATAATTTTTGATTACTTAATCCTTTTTTTAATATTATCAAGTGGCTGCAATACGCAATTACAAAAACGTTTTGTCCTCATAAGCAACTTTGTAAATTCAATTTTTACTCGGTAAAACTGATGCGTTTATCGTAAAAAAAGGCAGGAAAACGGTAGATCAAAGCAGAGGTGACAGACCATTTGTCCTCGGGGTGTTTTTTTCTCCAGACAAAAAGTACTGTTGCCTTGAACACTAATCTAACAAGATATCGTTACCCCTGAGCCTTTTTTCGTGAAGTAATGGGAGTTTAAGGATTGCCATTCCAGTCAATTTGTGACAATTAGCGCGCAATTTATTTCGCTCTATTAACGCGTAAGCGGAGATATAATCCATCTTACAAATTGTTGCAATTTGGTTGAAGCGGACCATTTGCCATAAATGCTTTGTTACTAGGAGCGAAGTCTATCACTTTGTACTTTATATGGCGTGTGGGGTGTTCTCAATTTTGCAGACATTAATACAACTTTTGAAGCAGTCCTTCTGATCGCCGTTAGGAACAATGAATCTTAATTAGCTAAACAAGCACCAAAAATAAAAGTTTGATTGCATTTAATTTGATTTTTCTTGGCAAGCAGTGGTTTTTTCATGTAATAATAGAATATCAAGAGTAGCTATCATAAATGATTATCAAAATCTTTGTGTTATTCAAGGTTACATCAATTTTGTAACCAATTCGTTTTATCGACTTTAAACGTCAGTCTATCATTTAGGATTTCGTCCTGATATGAGCAGTCTTATTTCACTTCAAAAACTAACGAGCGCGTCAATTTAAAACAAGACTACTCGTATCAAGACAAAGCCCTGGATGTTCCGACTGCATTTTAAGGTTTATGAAGCAGTGATAACATTAAAAAAAATAAATGAAATAAAACAAAATAAAAAATTTTATTTTCTAAAATTTGAAAATTTTTATGAAAATCATCCCCCTAAGGGCGATGAAAAGTACAAAAGGATAAAATTCGCTCCTTGTAGCAAATCAATAATGGCAAATAAGCTTCTATCAACCAGTTTTGAACGTCCCAAATTGACCAAAATGGCAATCTTTAAACCCTCGTAGTTTTAGGAACATTTGGTCACAGGTAAAAAATTTTTTGTCACAGGTAAAAAAAACCCACCCCGAGCACGAATATTTTGTTACTTTCGTATCGAAAGTCGGAATAATAATCAAGTTTTAAATTGAACGAGTTCTTTCTTTAATTCGATAATGGGTTAATACATTGTTAGATGGAGAAGTAAGGAAGGCTGTTAAACTTTTTTCTGTTGAAAAGGAAACTGAGCAAGCAAAATGTGTCTACAGAATAGCTAATAAATTAACCGAGCAGACTAAGCTTCTCTGTTGTGATAAACGTTTTTAAATATGGCTCTGGTTTGAGAGTCTTGTCAGTGTAAGAAAATATTTCAAAAAAAAGGCTAAGCATTTCCCGCTTTTAGGTTCTTTCGATCAATGGGTTGCGATATAGATTTTAAAAAAGGAAAATTTTGTTCACTACAAAATTTACTGTAGGATTTCAATTCAAAGTTTTTGACGATTGGTAGAGACTTTTATAAAGAGTACGTCTCGAGTTGTCTTGCAACTAAGCAATAAACTACTTTAAAAGCTTGAATATTATGTCTCAGCATTGATTGTAACACATCGTCGAAAGATAAATTTCGAACACATTTTCAAATAAAGCCCAACGCAAAAATGAGAACGTTGACCGCAGACCAATCAAAGTCATCTCAAGGGTTGAACTTTGGGAAACCACAAACCAGAAACGTGCTTAGCTTTAATATAAATGATATAATTAATTTTAGCACTTTTCAATTACAATCCCCTTCCCCAGCACATTACATCCTTCCATATTCAAACAAGGCTGCTCGTATCAGTTTAGAATGCCCTGAAGGTTCCGAATGTCCTTAAACTAGTCTCTGATAAGTTTTTTGGCTAATGAGTTATAGACAAACTAAGACTTTCGAGCTGAATAATTACAATCGTAAAAAATTGTGCTACGATGGATTGAAGAAAACGTAACGAAGTATCGGGAATCGAAGACGCCAACGGCAGAGTCGATTTACGCGATAGATTACAACAGGAGACTTGAGTTGTTTGAGACTGCATGCAAGGTATTCGCCATACCAATGGAAGTCAGACACGTATGGAGCCGCTAAAGGTTCTTTCCGTGGTTTCGAGCGACGTTGACGTCCTGGTTATACATGATAACGAAGGATCATATGAGGAAATATCAGAAGGAATATCGACAGTTCCAGGCCGAGAAAGGACCGGAGGCTTTCAAGAGACCTCTGCTGACCCATCGAAATGCGATCACGACGGGGTGGAAAAAAGTTGGGAGAGTGTCCGTGACAACACCAAGGCGAGAGAGTCGATACTAGAGGAAGACTTGGCGAAGAACGTGAGCCTGAGTCTGCCCAATTCCTTCTGTTTGAGCCGAGAGTCGAGGGTGAAGAGTTTGCCCAATCAAGCGAAGAGATTGCAGGAGAAAAGGGAATGGATGCGGTCCTATGAACAGCTGAAAGCCTGGAAAGAGATCGTGATTAGCTCCGATGACGAAGAATCACTGTTGAAGCAGATCACGGTGTCAAATGCATCTGGGTCTGGTATCTCGAAGGCGAAGAACGCGAGGTGAGCAGGTGGCTCAGTGGGGAATTCTAGAGTCTTGAGTCTTGAGAGGGAAGGAAAGGGGCTTGGTGGTGAACTTGGATGAAATCTAGGTTCACGAAAAAGAAATTTTAACAAATGAGATATTGTTATTAATATATTATATCTATTATATAAATCAAAATGCTGCAAGAAAATTTCCTGATTGAATAGGACAAAAGAAATTTTAAAGTACTAGCTTAAAAAGCGAAAATTCACAGGTGCAGGTGTGTGCAGATTTTGATTGCTGTTTAGCGATAGTGTGAAAATTTTACATGGTTGTGAATTTTGGGGTGTAGATAAACTTAAGTCTGCTGCAAACTTCTGTAAATGACCACTGGCACTGTATCTTGAGTAACACTCGGGTTTCTGGGGATTCACTGACATACGGCAGAACGCGATGAGGACATCGATCTTGAGTCCGGGGAGTATGTGCCAGTCGGTCATATCTGGAAGTTTGACCTTGAGGAGCACGAAAATACGTGGTTTTGGAATGAAGTTTTATTTTTCAAAAATTCGAATGGAGCCTTGTCATGCTAAGTTTTTTCGCGACAACTGAAAACATCAAATAAAAGATCAGAACAACCGAATTACAACTGCGGGAAAGTTGTCAAATATACACAGTGGGAAATTGTTATTCGCAATTTCCATCGTAGAAAACTAGAGTAGAGCTGTCCTATCTGATATAGGAGACCAAACAAATACGAGAGCAGAGCAAGAATCAACTGGACCAGTGTGAACCTTCAACGGAAAGGCAGACAAGTGAAGTCTCCCAATGGTCCAGATCCAAAACTACTTTCTTGAATTAAAACTTATTTTCCTTGATTGGAACTCATCGTTAGAAAACTTCTTGAGTTATATTCGATTATATTTATGCTAGAGTCATTAATTAGTTTAATTACTCTGTTTCTCAAGTGTGCTGCTATGTAAGTACCTAATTTAATTTTCTCGAGTGCATTTTATAATAAGTATGTTGAGATAAGGCGAGTTTTAGGTTGATCCATCTGATATGGATCAAAGTTCCACAGTCCAATAAAAAGTAACTTGACGGATTGTTCCGACCCTGTTTTTAACGGCGTTCGTGTATTTTGGGTATTCTGAGACCTAAGTATGGGGACGTTC